AGCACGACGTTCGAAGCGAATCTTGTCCCAGAACGCGGAGTTGCTGCGCTTGCGAAGATAGCGGAATTCCGCGCGAAGTTGGACGTCGAAGAGCAACGCAGCCTGGCGCCCTTGAGGTTCGAAACCGCGCCAGCTACTGTCCGTGCGAATCGCCGCGAGGCGAGCCACGTAATCGCGCTCTCCGTCCGTGCGGTATACCGCGATATCAACGCCGTGATCCGACGGGACGAGTTCTCGGCCGATGGTCCGCGTCATTCTCCGATAGCAGAGGCGCACCCATTCTTCGCGGGTTTTCTCAGGACTTCCCCCCGATCGCGTGAAAAGATAGTGCGCGGGGATGGCCCCTCGAAGACGCCAATCCGGAGTGTCGAGAACGTGAACGGGGAGTTCCCCGGGTAGATGAAACGCAGTCACGTACGGCGCGATGAGATCATGTTCGCGGAAGTAATCGCGGTCGAACCACGGAGCGCTGGCGAATAACCGCGGATCGTCTCGCGGGGACTTCCCCGAATATGCGGCAGGCGGTGGAAACGTTTTGGGCGCCGCCGGAGTGGCGTTGTCGCTTGCCATGATGCTGCGAGGAATACCTCGATGATACAGTACGCCTGTGAGCGTGAACGAAGAGTACCAGGGAAATCCCTGCAATGTGGAAGATGGAAGAAAAGGAAGAAGTGCAAGCGCACGAGTACAGTGGACACCGGCAGCCTCCACTCTTAACGGGGGGGATATGTGGCGCAACGCGTCCATGCCGCATGGCATTGCTGGCAATCCAAAAATTGCAATTTTTGGGCTCGCGTGTACACGTGTGGGCGGAATCCTCGCGGAGGTACCGCTGTCCTCCGTGCTGACATTACAGAGCTTACAGACCCTTCCCTGACAGTAGTATGATAGACACGCCGCCGTCGGCGCCCCTCGACACGTGTACGTGTGCGGACCACCGCGACCTCAATCCGGCACTCCATTAGTATATAGGGTAGTACGGTAGCACCACCCTAGTAAACCCAACCAAGTCCGGCCTCTACAGCTCAGTGCCCCCTAATATTGCACGGTGAACTCACCGACGGTATAGGCGCCAAGCGCGAGTGTACGCTGACTTCACCAACAGCTCCCTTTACTTCCCCTCCTATCCCTATCCGCCCTACTGGCTGTCTACAGTCCGGTCAGTCCGGGGTACTTTCGGAGCTTGTCTCCACTCTACCACTACCGCAGTCATACTGCGTCGCTACCCACCGCGCCCGAACTCGCGGAGTAGTTCGCCGAACTCGGCGTTGCACTACAATGGCCTATCGCCTTGTCGAATCTCTATGGCCCATGCCGAGTTGCTCGTGCGCGCCATCCGCGGTACACCATAGTGTCGCCGCATCAACGCTACTCGAGAAGGGAGATACATGCCAGAAGGCTGGTCCTCGACAAGAGGCAACCGTTGCACCTTCAGTGAGGCAAATGACTAGGGATTTTTACGCTTTGAATTGAAAGATAGTGAAATGCCTATGAAGTGCTGATTACTTGCTACGAGTAGATAGAGAGTGGGTCATGGAGACAATGGGAATCACCAATGACCTCTAATGCTGAATGGAACTTCCCGAACCCCGAATCGCGGCTTTCTTGTGTGCTCTGCGGCTGCTTACGCGTCCAATTCTGCTCCGTTTCTTCTTGGAAGGGGTGACGACGAGAACTTGGCGCAGTTCGGAGACGCCAACTAAGATCCCGTCGGCTCCAACGCATGCTTTGACCGCGCCGGCGCAGAACCGAAGCGGAAACCACTCCATAAAATCAAGTACAATGGAATGTATGGTCGAGACGCAGATGCTGTGCGTTATGTAGGGCAACACTTCTAAAGTCGCGACATAGACACCCGGGTCGAGCCTCAAGAGGAGTCCGAGAGATGGACTACGAAGACCCGACCCGCGGAGAGTGACTTCATCTTGATTAAGGTGTTTTGCAGCGTCATGGAAATCTCGGATTCGACGCGACGGAGAGCCGGTCCTCTCAAAGAAGAGGCTGTTGCGGACTAAAAGATCCCAGTACTTGACGGCAAGATTCAGGGACCCTAGTAGTTGGAGACCGTTGCAGACGGCGGCGGAGATGCACATGTCACTATTATCTCGGAACCGCACGGTCCCGTGTGTGGAAACGCGGTAGATCGGAGTCCGAGGATTAACCGCCCTGGAACGACCATGGATCATCTTCAGACTCCTACCCTTTTGATCGGTACAAAAACGGTCAATACTTAAGAAGCCACTAATTCGATCTCTCCCACCAAACTGGAAGAGATCATCAACAATCTTGTGAGTTGTACTATTCCCAGTTCCGGAAATTGCTAGAGTGTAGAGCAAAATACGGTGAGGAAGGTTGGTTGCGGCGTCGACGCCATAGTACGTGTTGTCAACGTCGAGATAGATGGACTCAATATTCCACTCACCGTCGCCTATAATACAGTACTGGTTTGTGTCCGACAACGACTCTGTGAGACCAAGACGCCATATCTCTTCGAGAGAAAACTCTTCATCTTGCTTGCGGTAGAGCAGGGCGGTAATATGATCTCCTAGAAGGATTTTGAACTCCTGTTCTGTTACGGCGTAACGGCGATGTCCGCTAGCCACCCAAATGTGGAATATAGAGCCCGTCTTGGAAACCTTGGTTACACCTGTTCGAGATGAGAGCGCGAATATTAAGTGGCTGCGGCTGGCGACGCATGCAGCTTTCAGAGCGAGCTGCTTCCGCGGACGCTTACCTCCCGTGCTCTTCGCCGCTGTCTGCTTGGTCCTCGCCATCGTATTACGCTATAAGGGGGGCCAAAGAGGGCACTAGGGGACTGAAACCCCACCTGCGTGCCTCTCAATTTGGTGGGAAACTGGAGGTCTAAGCTACGACGAGGACCAAGGAGGCAACGCGGAAGAGCCGCGAGAGGTAAGCAGCGCAGGAAGCAGGAGGCCGGAAGAGCTAAAACGAGGCTGGGATGGAGCGAGAAAGGCGGACGGAGAGTGACGGCAGATACCACAAGAAGGGAAGGGGGGTCCGAACCCCAGGTCTGTGTTGATATAGGCTGGAGGGTGGAGAAAAATCAAAATCAAAGGCAAAATCTGAGTGGCCGGGGCCCGTGGCCCCGCCTCAGTGGGGGGTTGTGTGACACGTTGTTGGGACCGTTGTAAGTAATTGGAAGTTTAAGTTAGTAATTGTAGACAGTGCGCAAAAAGAGTATAAACGCGGTTGTTTTCGGTCGTCTTGAACGGCCGAGGGCAGACACATGACAGAAAACACAAACGGGTAAGACACGGGGACGAGGCATCCCGTTTTCACCCCAACAGTGTGCATGGGCGGGGGAAAGGAGTTGCGACGGCGGAAAGGGCGGGGATACTTCCCAAAAGGCGTGTCGAGACTTGAGGCAGGCACTCGGGGAGGGTAGCAAGATACCAATCCCGATGGTTGGTCGGGATACTGCCCTCGGACTTTAATATCGCCGGATTTCCCGCTGGCTCGTCCGCTCTGACAATTTCCCATTTTCCCCGAAGTTTAGGGTAAATCAAATAAGGGAGATTTTGCGTTTAGTGGGGCGATCGTGGTCTTTTTGTGGCAAAAAGGGGGTGAAATGGCTTTTCTTGTAGTGTTGAGGGGGTGACGCGGTCAAATTTGCTGAGGCACCCATCCGATTGAGAAATATTTGTAGGGATCGTATGGGTGACGTCTTCAACATGGGGGTGACAGAAAAGAATTTGGTTGTTCGTGAGGGGCGACAGAATCTGAACAAAGTGGACGGTGCTATAAATTGTACTAAATGACAGGCGAAATCGGATACTAAGGCGTTACTAAAAGAGCGGCTACTGGGCTACTCTGCAGTATCCCCATACAGCTGTTTCAGAGAGCATTTCGGGCGATGCCCTCGAAACAACTGACAACCAACCGCCCCCCACGTTTCGGAATCCGCGGGAATGCCCGCTCGGACAACTCACTCCGCCGCGGCCATGAAGTCCCGGACCTTCCGCAGCCCCCTCTCATTGCCCTCCCTCGCCAGCCGCTCCAGCCGGCGGTACGTCGCGTCCGCATGCGCGAGCTGCACGCCCTCCAGAAACCCCTCCGCGCCGCGCTCCTCGTACACGTTGTCGCTGCGAAACCGCGCCGCGCACCCCATCGCCGTGAGCAGCGCGCCCAAGTCCTCCTCGAGCCTCCCGGCCCTCACCACGTAATCCGGCACCAGCCTCTTCTCCCTCGGCGTGCCGTTCGGCCGCCCCTCCCCGTCCACGTACGGGTACGCCTCGTACATCGCCTCGACCTACCCGTCGCCCTCGACCATCTCCTCCGCCGCGGTGCGCATCTGGCCCCCCCGCAGCGTCGCGTTCCCCCGCCCCGCCACGGCGTACTTCGCCGCCGACCACAGCCGCGCGCGCATGGGCCGGCACCCGCTCACGTACATGTGTGGCGTATTGTATCGTACACGTGTGGCGTATTGTGGAGGTTGAAACAGTCGATAAGGGGGGCCACATCGGCGTGGCCGATCACGAGATTAATTGTCCCTACAGTATCCGCGTTCTAGAAATGTTGAGTTTAATAGCTCGATTACTTGCCATTTTGGATTACTACAAGGGCGAAAAATCCCAATTGTGTTGTTTGGGACGGGTGACCAAAGGCGACATTTCAGTGGTCGGGTCTAACATACTACTGATATTCTTCCCTTCGCCCCCCTTATGCAACACATTCGCGCAATTCACCCCCTCAACACTACAAGAAAAGCCATTTCACCCCCTTTTTGCCACAAAAAAGACCACGATCGCCCTACTAAACGCAGCATTAACTCATCAAATAAATGGTTAAGTTGCTCTCAATGTGCTGCTCTGAAAAAGATATGCCTGGCTCTTACTGTACGATGATCGTATTCTCTATTGTCTCCAGATAGAGAATACGATTTTTGAATAATTTCTTCTGCGGAAAAATGTCCAGTTTGGGTTACTTTCCGCCTCCGTTAGAGAGCAGGCGTTGAAGGAGTTTTGAACAGAAGCTCAGGAATGGACAAACTCTCAGAAAGCGATGACATCCGCACCAGTTGTCTCATCCCCCACGATGTGCATGTCATCCATCCGCTTAATGGAGATCTCTTACATGTCCTCGACGAACATGACGCTCTGTCGACATCCAACTCCGCCTCAAAGCCGCACATCTCGACTCTCAATGACGCCATTCGCCGCAGCACTGTGATCTGGCAGATGCATGGTGCCGCCGTTCTCCAGATCTCTTCTACCGTTGCTCTCAAACGGGACGCAGATCTCGACATTGCCCATATCTCAACTCTCAATCACATCCGCCATCATGCCCCCTCCCTCCCGATCCCTCGTACTTTTGGTGTGCTCATTGACCGATCTCGACGGATGTATTATCATTTCATGACCTACTTTCCTGGGCCATCTCTTCAAACTCACTGGATACATCTGTCTGATGCCCAAAAGAAATCCGTCAAGGAGCAGCTCGAACCGATTTTTCAACAGTTGCGAAAAGTACCATCGCCACCGCTCGAGAATGGACGTTTGACTTGGGGCAGTGGAGTGCCAAGAAGGTGTATAGACACCAGAAGGTGGGAGCGTGTTGCGAAAGAAGAGATTTTGGACGAGCAGGTATTCAACGATTTTCTTACCACGAGAGACCGGCTTGGGCATGGGCCATGGATACAGATGGTTAGATCATTTATGCGCGAGGATCATGCTTGTGCTATGACACATGCTGACCTTCATCCCCGTAATATTGTCGTGCAGATAGTCCCGCATAGCGAGAATGACGCCAGTGATGATGACTTGACACAGAAGGATGTCAAAGTGCTCGGCGTTATTGACTGGGATAAGAGTGGCTGGTATCCGGAGTACTGGGAGTTTGTAAAGGCACTGAATACCATCGGCTTGGATGATCCCATGCAGGACTGGTGGCAGTATCTTCCCCACTCCGTTGGCCTTTGGCCGGTGGAGCATTCTTTGGATCGAATGATTTGGCGCTGGTACGGTTAGGAGGAAATTTAATCCCAGAGATGTGACTGGAGCCCGGAGGCTGTAACTGTCGCACGAGAACCTGCCACGCGCTTGTACGAAATGAAGTCTTGGTGCTATCTCAGGATGCCTGCCTTCCGGCGGCTACCCATGCACGCAGTGTGAGTCAGTCTTTTTCTCAAACGCTATGATGATGAGTATCGGGAACAAAGCCAAGGCCTAATAATGCTAGATTTGAAAAGTCCTGAGTCTCGGCTGATTGAAAAAGTTGGGAGTTTTCGTGACAAACATTGACTTGCTTAATATCCTACTAGGCAGCTGCAATCCCGACGCCATGGCGATCCTGTAGTTGCTAATGGCTGCCTCACTAATGGAAAGGATACGTCTACTACGAACGAAGGCGGTCTCTGCGTGGAGCTAAGCAAGATCTTCTGTGTGTACAGTGGCCTTTTTTCGGGCCTGCTTGGGAGAGGTGTTCGCATCCTCGAGGTGGTGGGGGATATCTCGTCGCTACCAGCTGTGGTGAGAGCATTAAGGGTCTGGCGGAGAGTGTCACGGTTTCGGACCTTGATTCTGCAGCTGACGATCTGACCCTGGTTTCGTCCACCTCTACGTGCGCATTGAGGGGAGACGTTGTAGACGGTTGTTTGAATACCTTATTCACCGAAGCCTGTACCATAGAGCTTTGAGAACTCGTCGCAATTTTGTTGTTCTCTGCCAGCGCTTCTGTGGTCTTCGCGGTCGTGGTGACGCCTTTATTGGTATTTGCGCGATCGGATGGGGCACTGGCTTTGTCAACAGCTTGGAAGTTGATGGTGCGGAGGAAAGGGCTTTGGGAGCGTTTGCCGAGACAAGGAGAGAGAAAAGACACAAGAAAGTGATCATGTAGACATGGGAGGAAGTTCTGATGAAGGTCGTCACAGTGGTTTTTGGAATGCATGCATTACGTTGCTTAAATGGTTTTGGGAAAGGTTACTTTATGAGCGCCAAGCCGCGATGGTGTAAGGGGACGACAGTGTAGTTCGAGATGTAGAGCTGAAAGTGGGATGCGGGTCAAAACACTTCGGAGATGTTGCGGTGTGCCACCGACAGCTTCTTACGCAATGGAGTTTACGAGAAGGGAAGTCCGCAAGCAAAGATGACGATGGGTGAGCTTGTTTGTTGTCTTGAGATATTGTCGTCGCCTGACGGCTTGAATTTCGGAATGCGGGCATGTCGTACGCAGCAAACCCGAAAATTTTCTGTGTAGTAGAGTATGAAACATGGTGAGGTCGTCTAGCATTGGTCTATACTTTGAGAGTACATACATGTTTGCTGCATGGGAGGAGTCACCAAAGGCGAAGGCAAAAGTGGAAGCGCGGGAACAGCATTATCTTCTACTTTGCTCGGCAACCAGCTGTTGAGATAGCATCAACACTTTCATGCATCGGCGTGGCAGTTTACCGTGTGGTTGGTCAAAGCTTACCCCCGAGGGCTTGTATTACACCTATGGATCCATTGCCCATTGCCAGCGATCTATCATTTCATCCAGGGCATACTCCGTTGGCCAGGTGCCAATGCAAGGGGGAAGATACTGCCACCAGTCCTGCGTAGGATCTCTTCTTATCCCGATGGTGTGCAGTGCCTTGACAAACTCCCAGTATTCTGGATACCATCCACTCATATGCCAGTTTATAATTGCAAGAACTTTGACATTCTTCTCTGTCAAGTCATCATGGCAGGAATCGTCCTCACTGCGTGGCACCAACTGCACCACAATGTTACGGGGATGAAGATCACCATGGGTCATAACACAAGCATGATCCTCGCGCATGAACGATCGAACCATCTTTCTCCACTCTTCACACTTCGCATCACCCCAAGTGATGAAATCGTTGAACGCCTTCTCGTTTAAAATCTGCTCTTCCGCGATACGTTGCCACCTTCTGAAGTCCTTAATTCTTGCTGGCATTCCACTGCCCGACAGCACACGTCCATTATCAAGCGCTGGCGGTGGTATGCTTCTTAACTTCTGGAATATTGCTTCAAGCTGGTTATGCACGGATTTCTTTTGAGCGTCAGGCAGATGCATCCAGTGCGATTCAAGCAAGCGCCCTGGGAAGAAGGTCATGAAAGTATACTGCACTTTTCGAGTTTGGTCGAAAAGCACGCCAAATGTGCGAGGGATAGGGAGGGATGGTGCATGCTGGCGAATGTGATCAAGAGTGGATAGATGGGAGATGTCGAAATGAGCGTCCTTCTTAAGGGCGACGGTGGGGGAGATCTGGAGAACGGCGACGCCGTCCATCTCCGAGCTCAAGGTGCTGCGGAGAATGGCATCATTGAGCGCCGATATGTGCTCCTGTGTGATGGAGTCCAATGTGGCGGGAGCGTCGTGTTCGTGGAGGAGATGCAAGAGATCGTCTGCGAGCGGTCGGGTAACATGGACATCGTCGGGGATAAGAAAGGTGGTGCGGATGTCATCGCTTTCCGCGGATTTGGCCGTCTCAGAACTTTGCTTCTTCATAGTGAAGATCTGACCTGTGGTATCGCCCGCCTGGGACCTACTACAGTGTGCGAAACACACCCATCGTCGAGTGGGTTTTCGTGTAATGTACAGGTCCGCACTCGAGAGCTGCCGAATTTCAAAGTACTGTACCTCAACTTTTTGTCCGGTTTAGGGTAAGTACAGTACCTTTGGTACTTGTAGAAAGTGCAATCACGTCAAACAGCGTCGTCTGCTAATCGCGATCACATAATCCAGAATTCCTAAATAGCAAAATGCGCGCGACTTGCGACCATGCGCTGTCACTTTAGTAAGAGTACCATCATCCCCACAGGCTCAAGTGTTCTTATTTGCCGCTTTGTTTCGGTTCTTCACGCCATCAATCCCTCTTGCAATGGCGACTGAGGCATTCGTCGTCATCTACAAAAAAGTGGACCCACGAGATGCCGCGCACTGGGCGTTGTGGTTGACGCAACCGACTACCAAGAGCAACTGGATTTTACAAATCGAAGACGACGAGCAAGACAGGGGCTACTTTGTTACCAAGCCGCAGGCAGAGCGTCCGGACGCATCAGACTCTTTGCATGAAACTATCAAATGCGCTACTATATCAGCAGAGCATAGTCTCAGTAGCTTGGTTGACATTGTACAGGGACTCTCCGTGAACAATGACAGTACTACCTGGAATTGTCAAAATTGGGTCGTGGATGCGCTAGAGGCGCTGAAGAGTAAGGGACTTGACATCCCGCTTAATGTCATGAACAATCTCCGCAGCAAGAGAGAAAACCCAGAGTACACCAATTATCAAGCGGGGAAACTAGCGAATGTACCTCGACAATGAAAAACACGCGTTGGTGTGAACAGGCGAAACGGCTTCCTCTGCATGATATGTTGTGGCTGATACAAGCGTCTTGGCAGCGTGTTCGCCGCCTCTGACCGTGATGCACTCACATGTACCTCGCCATGTTCACTACAGCGGCTCTTGCTGGAACGCGGCTCGTTGAGGACCGAAGTGAACTCTGCCAAGATTGTCAGTGGTCCGAATGTTGGAGAGAACATTAATGTTACTCCGGGAAAACACGTCATTCAACAATGCACTTTCTTCATCCGAAACGCTATCAGCGCCTTTGGCCGCGCTTCGCACCAGCCGTGGACAGCAGTGCGCAATGAGGCAAGTAGTGCAGATGTCGTCGCTTTCTGCGGGGTTTTCCGTCTCTGCACTTTGCTTCCTCATGATGAATACCTATCCTGTGCTACTGCTAGCTTGGCAACACCAGCTGTAGAAGAAACAACAACAAGATAGTATTGAACAACCAACGACACCGTCGAGCTCGAGACAGGGTCATATTTTGGTAGCCGCGCGACCTTTTCTATAGAGCTGCTAGGTTGGCAATGCCAGCTGTAGAATAGACAACAACAAGATAGTAACAATGAACTGAACAACCAACGACACCGTCGAGCTCGAGACAGGGTCATATTTTGGTAGCCGCGCGACCTCTTCTATGGAGCCGCAACTACGGGGTGTCTGTATCTGTATCTAAATTAGCGGTAGCTGAAATTGATCAGCCGTTCTGACTTTCAGGGCTTCGAGTAGTGACACCGTGGGCGGACATTGTTTCGTTGCAATCGTAATATAGTACCATTGCACGCTGCACCGCATGGAGAAGTAGTAGGATCGTCAAGTCTAGTCGGGCACTGGTGCCAGTGCTGCCAGCAGCAAGAACACAGAACTGTTTTGCTGCAACGTTTCAAAAATATGAAGGGTTATGGAAAATTAGTCATTGCCCCTTTCAAGATATGTCATCCGCAGAGGCAGTCTTGAACGTTTCACAGCTCTGGCTGGTCGGCAAAGGGAGTTTTGTGCAGCGGGCAGCACGGGGGAGGCGGAGCCGACTGTTAAGAGCATCACCACCGGTAGAATCAAATAACCAAATAACCAAAAATCGATGATTTGATGTGGATTGACATCCCCACCGGTCTGACCAAATCATCAAATTTTTGGTTCCGAGCCAAATATCGGGACCAAATATCAAGAATTAGGTTCCGTTTCTTCGTAATTTGATACCCTGGACAATCCAGTTGTTCAAGGTGTCGTGGGCACTATACAGCGAGGACAGCGCTAGCCCTAAGCGACTGGCAGTGTCCGCGGCGGTGCGCCGCCGGTCCCAAAAATACAAAGGGGAATTTTACCGGGTACTTAAATCAAGGGGAAATTAAAGGGACTAGAAATCCGGGGGTTACTCACGCACTCACGAGACAAGACCCCCGGTGGCTTTTGTGGCCTTTCGCTTCGCCTCGCTCGATCACCTCCGTTCCGCTCCCTCCGCTGCGCACGTTCAGGGAAACCGAGCCTCAGCTTCCGCTGGAGACTAACATTCCTACCACACAAGGCTCATTTGTGAGAAAAAAACTGCCAGATGGCGGTGACGTACACATTCCGTTTAATGCACGTAGAGCACTATTAAAATGTGGGCAGAATTAAATTTGACATCACCTGTCCGAACACAGTGCACATCCTCTCCCAGCGAGTCTACTGATAATGCAATCCTCTGCGATTATCAGCAGAGGATTGCACGTACGAGAGTCAAAGGGGGTCGGGGTGGGCAAGAGGAAGTAGTATAAATACCCAGAGGCGCAGGGCAGAATAGCTACCCGGACATGCACAAGCACAAGACGAACCCACAGTAAAAATGACGCGACCCCTCAACTCACCCAGTCCTGCCGGTTAACTTTACTGTTTTTTCTCTATTTTGCGACAGTCTAGACTACTGGCATAATTAGTTTCTCTGCAAAAAAACAAACTCAACTCAGCAGCTCAAGATCAACACAAAACTGGAAATTTGGTTCTCGAGAGTGGTGTCCTTGCCTCCATTTTCATATTAACGCAACACGTTTTGTCAAAAAGGAGTCAAGCCCATATTCTTTAATAGAAGAAAACTCTCACCGTAAAATACAAGAGTAAGTTCTTTATTTTCCGCTATCACTAAAATAGAAATACGGTTAACAAACTGCTTTCTGTTCTAGTGGTACTAAAACCAAGACGCTATAGAAGATTCGGGCAGCCGCACGTCCTCGCCGACGAACCAGAAGACCCAACGACACTCGGCGCACGGCCTCGACCCCGCACGCCTGAGGTAATCTGGACAAGCGACGAGGAGGACTCCACCTCCGTGTTGGGCCTCGTCGAGACCGAAGTGACCTCTGCGGACCTACCCAGGCCGGAGGATAAGATTTTCGGAGAAGGTGCAGAAATTTCGACGCGACGTGCAGCAACCGAGCAACACGTGGAAAGCGCCTCGCGTGTTTTTAATTGAATTAAGACACGCTCTAAGTGATTAGGGACCCTTTCCCGGTGCTGCCAGAAGGCGTCAACAGAGTTCTACATCGCATGGCTATAACCCGCGTCGCCAAGAAAAAGGCACATCCGCGTAGATTTAATTGCACCCTCTGCAACGTCACCCTGACGAGTAGTTTTCAGCTACAGCACCAAAAGGGTGGTAAGCACCACCGTGCGCGCGAAATTCGCCTGGAGAGGGCAACCAACTACTACACCTGCAGCCCCTGCGACAGCTCTTTTCCCTCCGATCACGATTCACAGGCGCACACCATCAGCGCGAAACATCGCTATGGGGTCAAATTTTTACGGGAGCGCGAATTGACGCTCAAATAATTGACTAAAAAAATTTGTTTTGGAGATTTTGTGCTGATGAAACAAAAATTTCTCAAATTCTTCCACAAATTCTTCCATCCTTTTTAGCCATTTTCAAAATACCAATTTCAATTGTTCGCACACCACATCAATTGTGACCCGACACGTATTACAGATTTGGCACTAGCTATACGGCAACGCGTGTGAGATTCTGCTGTAATAGTTAGACACCTGTACACGTACTCAACTTGAATTAGTGTGAATCACACACAAAAAAGGTTGAATTTTTTTAAGTATAACGCTCGGGTGGCAGAAACGTTTTCTAAAGCTTAAGTAACTTACTAAAATACTGGTTCGAGACTTCAACTCATCAAACGAAATGCAAAACGTAATTGATGAGGCAGGTATAAAGACCATCACCAAGGACCTCAAATCGTATACACCTCCATCTTCAATTCACCATGATATCATATCAGTTATTACGCTACACATTACTCGCGAAAGATCTGATAATAATTTGGACACCGAATTGGTAGGAAAATTACGTGAAGATCTCCCTGTTGAAACTCTGTACTCCTTCGAAGTACTGAAGGGCACCACGTTCGTTTTCAGAATCATCCGTGACTTCTTACGGGCAGAAGGTGTACAGTATAACAGACATCCCGCAACTGACCGCATCTCGTGGGGATTGATGAAAATGTTATATTCAGACACGGACGACATTGATTTTGCTTACGAAAGACTTGTTCAGCACAAGAAGAGTAGCCGAGCATGTACGCCTACTAACAAGGAAATTGAACGTCAAGCCGGTCCCACAGTACCAGGTTATACTCCTGGAAGACGTGACTCCGAGGCAAGAGTCGCACACAACATGGCCTTGCGTTTCAAGAATCAAGACAAATTCACCGGAAAACTAGGTGAGGACCTCACGGAGCACATCAACAACTACATTGATGCCGCCCAGGACTACAACCTTGACCAAACCAACAAACTTGCCTTCTTCCACAACATATTCGATGGAGAAGCAAAGAGGTTCTATCGAGAGAAAGTGAGGGACAGGTGTGATAATTTTGGTGATGCATGCCAAGTTCTGCAAGGTGAGTACAACAACATCACTAGACAGAACAGAATCAGGAAGTATCTCCAGAGCCTGAGAATTCAATCTTTGATACATTCCAAGAAGCTCAGCACCGCAGAAGCTTTGGAAGAGTTACGTGAGATCATCACACGATTTGCCCCTCAAGGACCACGGACTCACCGTTCCGAAGAAGACAAGGTGAAATACTTTTACAAGGCTGTAGTTGGAGCCCCGTGGGCCAAGTCAGCGCTTGCGAACTCTCAGTCCACATCCAATCCTTGGGACTTCCAACAA